TGCTTCCGCTTTCCCGGCTGGAGTCAATGCCTAAAGCCAACGTGATCAGTTTGAGAACCTCACTGCCCCTCGAGCATCTGATAACAGCCCGAATCTTTGTGGTCGCAAAATGTCCTACGTGTCATGCAAAGCTGTCCAAACTCTCTCCCGACCCCCAAAGGAGTCTGGTGGTTGTGGCGATGGTGCACACCACAGCCATGGGATCTGCTAACGAGCTGCCAATCTTGAGCCTCGCCCTAACTGTGGGTGATGCGGATAAGCTAGTGACACTTTTGAAGCAGTCCCTTACAGGAGTCAAGAATTGTCATTCTGGGGACTTGCAAAGATGGATCCATTTGGAGGGGTACGCTCGCCTGTGTGGGTATAAGACGTAGCCTAAAGCGTTTCAGGTGCAACAGGAGTGGTCACAGCTGCATGTGCTCTGCTACGTGGCATCCTGTCCTACGAAGCATCACGCAGACTTTGATAAAATCGGACAAGGGTCTTGGGGATATTTGGTAGTAGCTACGCGAGAGGGGAAGGGACGCATGATTTTCATCGCGTTGCTGATTTTGAACCTCTCCATTTTGAAGTGCCTGCAACTCAAACTGAAGCCCAGGCCTCATCCTAATCAGCTTGTAGCTTTCATGTGCGAGAGGACTTGTGACCAAAATTCTATCACATGGTTGATGATCTTGGTAACATCAAGGCCCAGCCAGAAATCTTGTGTCCCTAGCCCCTGGCGGCCTTCGCGCCCTCTGAAGATGTGCACGCAGAGGACTCTGGGCCATCCCCCTGGCAACTCGCAGCTGCGACAGGTGGGCTTAGTAAAGTCATTAATATCCATAGTGTTTTTGCTACGGCTTGTCCTCTCATCATTACTCCAGAAACAACCACTTCAGCCCACCACACCCCACCTCCACCGCCGCCCACATCACCACACCAACATCGCCGTCCACTAGCGCTGCCCACCACTGCCGCCACCATCCCCGCCCGCACACCACTGCCGCCCCAATCACCGCCGCCCACCACCACCGCTCCCGCCCCCACCGCCCCGGCGCCACCCCTCCAACCCCCCGGCGCCCAGCACCACCAGCACCAGCTCCAGCTTGAACATGGCGACCACCGCTCCCGCTGCTGCGGCCACTCAGTAAATAGAAAAAAGATTCACGGTATTTGCTTCGATGTCAGAAGCAACAGCTCCGTCTGGTTCGTGTCTCTGTTCCGTTGGTTTGGTGTTAGAGACCCGTGGTAGTGGCGGTGGAGGCCACTGGGCCGGGATGTTTCTCCCGCACGCGGTTTGTTCCCCAGCCCGGTTGTACATGGTTAGCATACTGCAGCATACTCATGTTAACAGCTTCGTAGGAGTAGCAACATCAACACAAAGAAGTTGCTCTGCTCGTTTTGGAGGGTACTTGGAGGCACAATGCTCACTTGCTCGACCGTGATCATCGATACCTTATGACCTGATGTGCTTCATGTGCTTGCTGGCCGTTCAGAACTTGTATCGTGCCCATGTAGCAGCAGTGCTGAACTTGCTGTAGATGCAAGCCATTGCTTGCTGTCACCTTGTGATACCCCACGCCAACTTCAACCATCACACCCAATAGCAAACCCCCCCATTGCCATCATGAACCCGTTAGCAGGCAGGCTTTTGAATACGACGCAATGACGTGCAACAGGCCTTGGATGTGCTGCATACCAACTATGAGGCGGCTGGATGATGCTTCATCTTCGACTCTAGCTTTTCTGATGTGCGGGCAAGCAGCAGCAACCTTATGCACGCGCGGCCGAAGCCGCCGTTTGTGAGATTCACGAGCAAATCTCGATAGGCATTGGCATTGTGTTGCCGTGGTGCTCATCGCTCATGTCATAGTGATGCAATTGGCATGGTTTCCATTGAGGGTTCCGTATTTCGCGTGCTTGGAAGACGTAAGATGCAGCAAGCGTTTGGCAGGAGTCTGACAGCAACCTGATCGATAAGGCCATCGAGGACCGAGCAGCGCAACTGCATAAACGGAGGGGCGGGGAACTTGACTTGGAAGGCTTTAAAGATACAATTGTAGTTCAGGAGAGGCATCACCGGATTTTTGGTGCCCTGCAGCTGTGGTCAGAGACATCATGTCTGGACAGCAGAAGGTTCGAAAGTTCCGAGTGCAGCTCAGTTGTGCTCAGCGTCAGCTTGCCTGGCTAGGCTCTCGCAAGTAGACCAGGGCCTTGATCGACTTTCAGCAAGACGCAGCCAATCAGTTCAACATATCTCAACACATGTTCCCCTAGTCCCTAGTCTCCTTGCCCCAAACCAGTCACCCTGCAGGAGCTCAACGTCTACGAAAGGTGCGCCGGGTTAGACGGAGCAGCTGAGCTACTATCTCAGTCTCGTGTAGACCGAACCGCATCGATGGACACGTGCCATCCTTTGCAAACAGATACATCCATTGTTTGAGATGAGCTTCAACCAAGTCCAAAGATGTTGCAGGCGGATGCTTGCAACGGTGCTGACCACCTTGGCGCCCTACTTTACGAATCTCTCATGCAAAGTGTCAAAGATTCGCATTTGTTCAAGTTCGAGGCTTCTGAGTTTGGGTTTGCTGTTCTGGGTCTCAGGGCGGCTGCAGTTGCAATTTTGAGGCAGCAAGCTGATGTGCTTGAAAGAGTGCTTGAAGGATTGTGTATCCTACTCTCGCACTGATGTTTAGCTTGAGCTGTTCTTTTGAAAGTTCTTTCTTTATGGATTTTGCGGAGGCCATGGCCGCGAACATATTGCCCTGCCTGCTGAGCACTGTAGGAAGTGTCCTCAAACACGACTGGAGCGGATGCAGCCAAGGAATGACAAGCGACTTCGGCTGATGAATCGCCTGAATGCCACTGAGCTTGGAAAACGAGTCAGCCTTCTTAAGCCATTCATTCCTTGCATACCCTACGTGTGCGTTGAAGGCAACTGTGCGCCGTATGATTCCGTCTTGTACGCAACAGCTTGCAATTGGGTCCTCTCACCATACGCATTTCCCCAGAGACATGGGCATTCAATGTAGGAAGTGCACTCAGCTGTCATGTCGCTATCAAAGTCAACTGCAGTCCGAGTGCATCAGCAAGCTAAGTCGTTGGATGCAAGAAACTTCAGCCTTCGAGTGGGATGCATTCATGTCGTAAGCTCCGTCCCGAAAGTGAAGGTTCGTGTTCGTTAGTCATTTGTTTGATCACCCCAATGGTGGTCTCTTATTCGAATAAGCATTTCCCATTTTCGGCATTTTCGCTTGCGTTGGGAGAATTGGATGGGGTTTGCGGGGTGTTGGGGCCTTCTTGGTTGTTGTTGGCTTGACTGTATTGAATTCTGTGCTGTGGCCCAGGTAAGCACCATCTCCATGCCTTCCCCGACGAACAAGGATCAGCTCACGACTAGCCCGAAGGACTTTCCGGTTGGTCGAAGTGTCCGGACTAGGGAAGGCGTTTGCCTTGAGGGTGCCCAGGCAGTTGGGTCAGGTTCGGTTTGGGCCTGGGTTTGGCTCGGGTGGTCTTTAGATGTCTTCATGGACGAAATCTTAGTCTGTCAAGGTGACCTTTGCTTAACAATTCGATAGTTGTTGCATTAGATTGTGGTCAGCCGTCTTGCAGGGAGACTTGAAGGAGGAGATGGGCATCCAGAACAATGAGAAGGAGGACACGACATGCCGGGTCGTAAGGTACATGTGACAAGTACTTGCCTTCCCTTTGAAACCCAGCTTATTTTAGCATCCTCCGCATGTCGAGCTACTGGGGGAAAGCAGTTCAAGGGAGCCATGCTTACGTCCCATTGCCTTAGAGTCTGGACCCGGTTCCTGTTCCCAGTTGATATTCTCTCGCTCAGGAGATCTCATTCAAAAATTCAAAACCCCCTATGCAAGATCGGAATGACACCTGACCTATAGTCCCCCTTAAGTAGATAGAATGTGGGGTATAGGGGATCTTAATATAATCTACCCAAAGACCCCATATTCTATGTTTACTTAAGGGGACTATAAACCCTGAACCCTAAACCCTAAACCCTAAATAGTAGTTTCCATTTTCTTTTCCATTATCCTTATATAACCTCAATAATGCACCCAATATTCTATATCTACTTAAGGGGGACCCATTTTGAAATCGGAGCTGGAGCCCGGATGGGCTCCGGGAAGCTGATTGCAACAGTGATGAAGGACTCAATCCAAGGGCCTCCTTGCCGCAGCATTTTTTGGGCGTTCAGGGTTTAGGGGCATTTTCTGCACTATGGTTTGGGGCTGATCCATGCCCAGCTCCTGTGCAGGAGAAGGAGGAAGAGGCAAACACCCCCAGCACGGGTGTCGTGGAGAACGATGTGCCCGCTGTCGACGCCTTACAGTTGTTACCCCTGATGATGCACTCTCTTTGGTAAGTATCCCCCAAACAAGAGGGCCCCCAGAAAATTAAACCTAGCCGTCCTCAATAAGGCTCCCATCGTACTGAGGGTCTTGGGGAGGCGCTGGGGATTACTGCAGAGGGATGGCCTGGCTTCGGTTAGTGGCCCAAAACCAAAACACATCTCATCATAGAAAGTCCTGACAAATAGGCCAAAACTCTTTAAGCGGCAGCCGAAACTCATTTAAGAGAGTCTCTTAGCGGAAATGAGTACAACATTATCTCTGAAACGTACTGGTTCCGTACATGTTGCTACGATTTTCAACCGGGTTTCTGAGTACTCTCTGGCAAGCAGTAAGCTCGCAAGAGCATGTGGAGCACTCGGTATGAATCCAACACTACATGATGCCATGATGACTGTGAGCTGACGGTTCCATACACGAAGCAGGGGTTCTGCTGGGCCCAGGACTTGCGACCAATGAACCGCCGTTGGGAGGAGAAGCTGCAGACTGTAGATGTGTGAGCTTTTGCACAGTCCAACACAGATAGCTGGCAGCTGTTGCAGCTACCGCTTTAGGGACTTTAATTCTTTTCCCTGTGGATTTTCCGCCCAGTTCCAGTCAGTTCTTCTCTGCATTGTGGGCACAATGTCTGCAGGTTGTCTGGCACACAACAGAGGGGCACCGACCCCAACATGCTCTAACGTCGGATCGTGTTGGCCGAACCTTCATGGAGGGGAACCTCAAGGGACCATACCCTTCCCAGAGGCCAACATCACTTTCGTTGATGCAGCTGAGGCTTTCTTTCGTGCAGAGGCTTCAAATGACAATTTTGCGCCAGAGGGGTGGAGGGGGTGTGTAGTCTTTATGGAGAGTCAACAGCATGAGTTCCCTGCACGAAGCGAATGGCTCCACATGCCAAAGGCATGGCAAGCTGAAGCTGCTGAAGTTGCATCCTTTGAAGTAAATTGTTGTTTAGAGAAGGTTGGATCCATGCCTGCAAGCAGTCAGTGTGATCCATTTTTGACTGCCTACGCCCAAGTGTCTAGGTTGCACAGTTCTGATTTGCCGACCAGAACTCTTTTAAAATCCGCACATGGAGCCTGAAATGAACCACCAGACATGTTTATGGGAGGCGACAACCTACATCCTGAACTCTGGTGCACCTTGAATGCTACTGGCAGAACCCACCTACATGATGACGGCAGGATTTATGTTGGGGACATGATCCCTCAACAAGAAGCAACCCTGGCCCTATCCAAGACCTCAGCCATGAATCCTTCAAAACAGGCCCCAATGCCAAAGCTTTGTGTCAAGATCAGGACTTGTCACTCATGAGCTAGTGACTGATAGGCCCGATAGGCTGAACTCTAGAGTTCGGACAATGGTGTTTGCTTCCTTTCCTGCATTGCAGCGCATTGTGCGCAATGATGTCTTTCGTCCCACCACATGTGTGCGGAGTTCATGATTTCAAGGTCCGAGAGTTGCCTTAGCCAGAAAGTTTGCCCCTCCCGTCAAGAGCTGGACGATGTGCAGAGAACCTGAGCCCTGTTGGTTGCACGGGCGATTTGGCTCTGAATGCAGCGGGGCGCCAACTTTCACTGAATCTGTGAATAGATTTGAAACCGTAAATGCCCAGCATGATGATTCTCGCAACTCTCCTGCCGAGCTCCAAAAGCCTATCTCGAAATCAGCGGTCGGGTTCCCAGATCCTCAAAACCCGCGCAGATACTTTCAGAGGCCTTGACAGCTGCAGGGATCCCAATTAAGATTCTAGAGAGATGTTCATGGCGTCTCGCGTCTCAATGAGGCTTCTGGGAAACCCGCACTCAGAGACATCAGGTTGCTGCTGAAGGCAGAGTTCAGCTCACCCTGACCCTGTCTCTCAAGGCAGATCCTCAGAATGCCCATTGGGCAGTACTTGAGATCTTGTATTGAGCCAGCTCGGACCGGATCTGAACTCGCAAATCTGCATGGTTTGATTCGACCAAATAATTCTCCAGGACTTTCCTTCTCGCAAGCAAAAAAGAGCAAAATGGCAGATGTCCAGAGGGTGGCAGTTCTAGCTCCCAGCATTAGCCTCGAGCCTTGACCGCCTCTACTTATTGAATGCTCACCAGATGACGGTTCGGTTCTACAACGCTGAGAGCTTGTTAGAGGGCTTAGTTCATGATGTGGAGTGATTCGGGAACTCTTGCTGGAGTGGGTGATGTGAGCGTCTCAAACTCTGGTGTTCTGGGACGAATCTATGCAGAGCTTGCCGTGGGGGCGTTTCTGGGGCATTCAGCGCATCTGGCCGTGTGGCGAGACAGCGTCCTGCAGCTGTCACACCTCCATGGTCGCATGGACCCCAAACATATGGAGATTTATCCGCTGGTGTCACTTCTCAAAAGCTTCTTGCAAATAGAGCTACGGTCGTTCATGCAGAGATGCACTTAGTAGGATTTTTCCTCGTGCATTACCTAATGAGATTTCCAGCTCACTTCCTGCAATGTTGGACTGGGCAGGTGATTCTGTGTGACAACTTGTTCCAGAGGTGTTGAGCATTACTTCGGCTTCACAAGCAGTTTAACTATGGCTGAGAATGGCGTAGCCCATTTTAGGTTGCAAAGAGCTGCAGACAACAATCTAGCCACTGCCATCACAGCTATAAGCAGGGATCCAGACAACTCCTATCCGCATGCGCCTGGGCGTGCTCAGCAGCCCCATCAGCTGCGTGGTGGGAGGCTTCGAATGGAAGCTTTACCCATTGAGGCACCTCCTGAATTCTTCGCTCAGAATTTGAGCCACTTCCACACCCCTGGGAGGCTGCTGTTCCGCATCCTGCTTTTCCGGCACGCTGTGGCTGCATGGATGGCATTGGCTGTCGGCCCGCGTGCCGCCCCATTGAGTTGGGAGTTCCTGCTGCGTGAGCATTTGGTCCAAACGCAAGACCTTCACTGGCAAGTGGTCTGCGCTGGATTGGGTGCCTGAAACTGTTTCGGGCACTCTAAGTGCCCACAACGCTGGAGACCTTTGCATGGTGAGCAGCTGTATTTGCAGCTGGTCTTGATGCCCCACTTGCAACATGGTGCTCTCCAAACTCGAGGCCGCATCTTTGCCTGCACGCCATGCCTGCCAAGCTTATGTGCGGCGCAAGCTCAAACTAATCGTGCAACGCATGAGACTTCCTATTGGGTTCCTCCAACGCATAGGAGCAGCTGGATGCAGCCAATCGCAACTTTTGAGACGATTGAGACGTTCTGTCATTTCTTACGATGGCATTTGCTGTCGCGAGGAGCTGCCGGTGTGGGTGTTTGACACGATCGGCATTCCCCTTGCTGTGGAATGCCGCGAGCGGGCTTGCGCCGACGTGCGTCTCTGTCGTGTCCCAGCCAGACTGTGCCTGGCGCTCTGTGCAACATCCAGGTCGACTGTATGCCTCTCCAAGGGTGCCTCGGAGCTGGAGGGGCGGGACTGCAACGTGTACCCGCCTCCCAACTTGGGCCCCGAGGTCGACTTCCCGCATGCGAGGGAGGGATGCTTGGATTCGATTTCTGTGTTCCTGTGTATGCCTTGCTGTCACTGTGAGCGTCGGTGTTCAAGGGCAGGGCCTGATTTTGAAAGAAGGCCATTGTCTTCAGGAGCGCGTGGCGGCTCCGGCGAGGCCTTCTGTCTGGACCTGTTGCAAGAGCGGCTGCCATCCTTATCGCGGAGCGGAGGTGGAGCGTGCACTCATCTGTCGAGAGCCGCTGCCACGCCTCATGAGGGTTTAGTTTTATAGGGTCCCCCAAACAACCTTAGTTTCATGAAGCTATGCCCGCAACTCTTATCCGCCTCGGAAGCGGGGCAAGCACATCTGTTGCCGCATGTTCCCCTGTGATTACGTGATCTCTGCTGAGGCGCCAGGGCTAGGATCTTCACACGAGACAGCCCATCCACTATACAATGATGCGTCTCATTACGACTATTCTCATGCATTCACTCAGCTGACAGCCCATCCTGGGGCTGGCAGCTCCCATTCATCATGACACGCTTTTGTCATGACCGATGAAATTGGCAGCCCACATTTATGGACACAAACTCACGCGAAGATTGATGCGGCAAAGATATCCATAAGCAATGGGACCCTCATATCTGGCACGACTAGGCAAGATGGATCGATGTACGCGAGTCAATCAGCAGTAGTCGGCTGCAAAATGTTGATTGCAAATTTTATGCTACACTGACTTTCCCAGTTAACGCAACTTGATGCGGCGCAGACATTTCAGTGCCAAGCACCCGCATCGCTTTGTTGTTGCAATCGGACGATCCACATTGGGCATCTTGGGCGGACCTGGGGTAGTGCAGGGGCTGCTTGGCCCAGCCGCGTCGCAACCACGTGGGGAGGGCTGCCTTCTCCCTTGCGTGGCCGCCGCCTTGAGCTCGCAATCCTGTTTACCGCGGGCAAGATTCGACGCCCCAGCCTCCCGCCCTGAGGAAAAAAGGCGGGCCCAGTGGCTGGCCACGGCTGGCCACATGGTTGGCGGATTCATGCGTCGCGTACTCAAACCGTGACCGCGTGTTGCTGCCAACCCTGGAACCAGCCCATAGGGCAATCCTGTTTTCCCAGCCCGGCAGCACGCTGCCTGGCCTACGGACAGGGCCACTGCGCCCCCACCGCCGGAAGTGATGCAAATTGCATTGCGTTGCCGTTTGCGTTTACGCTGGCCGCTGGGCCGCGCTACTTGCGATCAGGAAGGCCGCGCCTGCATACGTCGGCGTGACGTTTTCGGGGATCATGCTTCTGCATGCCCGCGCCGGCTACTTGGCGAAGCGGGTGGTCGAGCGAGCGTAGATTGCTGTGTGCCGCGAAGCCGTGGGGCCGGAAGGGCATGTCGTCCCTCAAAAGTGGCTGATGCGCACCTCCGCCCCGAAAACCCTCAGGCGTCCAAAAAACATCAAAAGATTTATATTAGGCAGACTAGGAGGGAAACCCTTCTGATGATTAGCCCCAAGTGGGTAAAACTAAAAGTGATAAAAGGCGGAGAAAAATATTTGTAATGAGAGGGTGAGAACCACAGTTGCTTAGGCCAGGCCTATTCAGTCCGCTCGAAGATTTAAACCCCAAAACATACCCCATACCTTCAGGGTCTAGGGTTTAAGAGTTATGTTTTAAACACCTAGCCTTTCACATTATTCGCCGCCGCCTTGGCCTTTTTGGAATGTATCCAGGGTTAGGGTTCAGGGGCTTGGGTGCGCATGAGCCCGTCCATCAGCTCCCTGGAGGCGCTTTTTGTTGCGATGCCATCCTGGTCCCCCCGCGGAAACGCACGTGGCAGCCGGGACCCTGCGCGGCGGCGACTCAGAGCGCGAGTCAAGTCCAGTCGAGTCCTGATCGCCTGAAGGCGTCCCTTTTCGGGTACAAGCGAGACAAACATTAGCTTACAAAAGCCGCGTCCATTAGGCTCCTTGCCCGATACAAACTGGCAAAACCTATCGCGCGACTGATTCCAAAATCTGTTGTCTAAAGCTGTTGCTTCCCAACTGTCCATCCTTTCCAGCC